TCATTCTTTTTAACGAGGCATTAATAACTGTAATCTGCAACCATTGATGAGGCCATGCTACAACGAACATGGCAGAAATTGAGTACCTTTCAGATGTGCGTCGTGCAACTAATGGTGCCCATAACGAAGCGTATTAGATAGAGCAGGGGTCACCAAACTTTTTTGACCGCGGGCCGGGTATGACTCAAATTGTGTTGAAACGGGCCGGATGAATATTTTTGTCAATGCAATACAATAAATTCACAAATGTTGGGAATATCGCAGAATATAGATCGAGAACATCCTAGGAAAAAAAATCATAAAAAACGACTACCTGCTGTAGCTTGGAATTCTATGAAATTTTGACATAATTTAGATAAAATAAACAACTATTATCTGGTATTTGATTTTTTTCATTAGCGCATAAATTTCCCAACATTCGACGCTTTTAAAAATTACGCTCCAGTTATACGTAGTGCAAATTAATGATATTGTCCATGGACACCAATAAAATGTATGTGGACGTGTGTATTTCTGTCCTAACTTGATAAAATTTTTATGAAGTTCGTACAATCAGCACATCGTTAATTATTACCCACAATGAACCACTGTCAAACTATCATGCACAACTCTAGCGTTTATTTGCGACGATCTTTCGGCGGTGTCAATGACCGTTGCCAGAATAAAATTCTGAAATAGTCTCAATATACCATAGATGTGACGCACATCGAAAGATTAGTGATTGATATGTGTTATTTTTCCATATTTAGTTCAGTTCTTATCAAAAAAGTAATACAATCATTATATGGAAAAAATTGGCCTGTCGGGCGATACTAAAATTCCGATATCTTCGGTATTGTTTTCTATTTTTACTCAGATCTTTCCACTGAAGCAGTTTTCATTTAAATCGGATGGACTTCAATTTTTTTGTAACATACCTACATGAATATCCGCATTAAAGCAGTACAAAAGTTAGTGTGGCGTTTGAAATTGGAGCAGTACCGGTACGCGAGGGATTACAGTACTGCACAAAATGCACATTCGACGTTTATTTTAGCACAAAAAACAAACAGTTTCGTCGAAAGCACGCGCCACGAGTGTAGAAGTGTATCGCAGAAAACGTTACGTACTGGTAGCAATGTTACGAAAAAACAAAGACGACGATGCTCGTGAAAATCTCCCTTGAAAAAAAAAATTTAGCCATTTCTGTGTGTTACTGCGGACCGGATAAAATGACGCCGCGGGCCGGATAAAATGACGTCGCGGGCCGGATCCGGCCCGCGGGCCGTAGTTTGGTGACCCCTGAGATAGAGTAATATTATTTTAAAATTGTGTCAAAAAAGACTTTATAAAATAGTGATTAACATAAAAACAATCCGCATCTCGTATATAATAACGTTTTAAATAATAAATTGTACCTTATGGATACCCGTATTTCATCTCTGCAAGTCCTTCATCAACTTTTATAAACCCTTCCGCATTAAAATGTTTGAGACGTAGAATTCCCTTAACGCGTGAAATTTAATAGACTTCATAAATGTCTCTTTTAGGATAGGATTTACACATCCCGGGGAGGAGCAAGGTGATTAGACGGTTCAATCATATTGCGTACAACGGCATCTCGTCTGGTTACCTGTCCATCGGGTTTGAGATTAGTGTGCCAGTTATATTTTTTATTCAGATGCATGGACTTGATGGTGGAGGAAGCCATAACCGACCAGCCAGTGGCGTAGCATCCACCCCCGCAACCCCCGCGGTCGCGGGAGGGCGCACAGCGCAAAGGGGCCCAAGCGATTAAATTTAGAAATTTAAGCCGCAAAACCAAAAGCTGCATTGCAAAACCAGTAATGCACATCTTAACGTTGATGTTAGTTCTGCTCGAATCGTTTTGTTACGTAACAATGCCAGGGAGTCGTCGATTTTCGGCGTCTTGTGGTTTGATCGCACCGGCCAATTACGAAGGCTGTCAGAATGATGTCGAAAGCAAAACCTCTCAGTGGTGCACAGAAACGCAGAAAAAGAGCAGAAGAGGAAGCACGTATGAAAAAAATTAAAGTGACCAAGATAAACGGCAAACTTTAGGTTACCAATATTTAATATACCAATACTTTTAATAGCGACATGTTATGCTTTTTGACAAAATAAAAAAAAGCGTTGTTTTAGCTTATGTCCGAGAGTTTTTAGGGTCATTTCCACGAAATATTTTTGCGGGGGGGCCCACGAGAGTCTTGCTACGCCACTGCGACCAGCGGTTACGTGAACCAACCTACAGCAGCGTAGTCCAGCAATTCCCCCGGGATTCGAACTTGAGGTTCGATGACAAGAGTAGTTTACATCTACATCATATACAATAACGCCAAGCACAATGCGCCACGCCGCCGTGCCTGCATAAACACTGACCAAACGAATTTGGCTAACTCTTCCAATGCACTCCCGTTAAACTTTTTGTTGAGAATAGGTAGTTGTTATCCGAGGCGCCGAAGCTCATGTATTTTGTCTTCTCTTCATAAGCCGTTCATTTGTTAGTCAAGATTGAAAATTACTCAGGTAATTAATTACTTTATGTAAGAGATGATCAGAATTTTCCTTGCCACGAGGTAGACGCTCGTTGCGCTTTGCGTATTAGGTAGGATGCTGTGCGATTAGGGCTGTCCAAGCGAACCAAATATTCGAAATCGAATCGCAAATTATTCGAATCGTTTTTCGGCTAATTTTCGAATTGGTAAAATTAGGTAAATAAAGCGGGAACCACCTTTGCAGGACGTTTTTCATCGGACAAGCGGCGGCGCTTCGAGCTTAGACCACTCTCGCTCCCGGGTTAATTGGTTTCCCGATATTTCTCTCGCCTTTATTTTGTGATAAACGTGTCATTCCTAATGCCCGCCCGGTGGCACGTGATTAGCCATTTCATGCATGGTCATCATAACTTAAAAGTTATAATCGGTAATGAGTTTTGAGAGAGAACAAGGAGAAAAGGGCAATTTAGAAACAATAGTTCTATAGATAGAATCAATTTAAAGCTGTTGAGTTAGTTATCATAAAAACATGGTACATGCAACTTAAAGCTGAAACAGGTGTTTTGGGATCCTTATGATGACAATACTGTATTATCCATCTATATACCAAGACAAATAATTGCACTCTTGAATTTTGGTGGCTGTCGTACACTAACAATATTATAGTTATCAAATAATATTGTCATCAAACTAGCTTCGAATTTGTTAGATGCAATTTCGAATTTGAGCAACAGTTTTATCTATATTAATGGTTGTTATTATTTTGCTGAAAATTACACAAAAAACATGAGACTAGTGAATAGGATTAGAATAGCATCTACAGGCTTTACATGTCCTATTGAAACGGAATCCATTAGAATTGAGATTGCAATTTTTGAATTGTGCAATTTTCACACCTAACACTCAACAGTTTTCGAGACCCAAATTTTGGAGTCCTCCTATTTTTTTGACCAGTTTACACAAGCGTGTGCTCTCCTTTCATAAATCTGAAAACATTGTATTGCAAAATACCAGCAGTAATAAGATGTAATTGCACATACGTTACCACAATATCGAAGGGCAGGCGTTTATTGTATAATAGAGACAGATTTAGGTTCGCGCAATAATATTCGATTATTCGGTTCGGTTCGGCAAAAATATTCGATTCGAATAAAAAAAAATCATTCGATTTTGGTTAAAAGCGGCATTACAAAATACTAAAAATAAAACGGAAAACACCATCAGTTTTGTTTTAGGATGGCCCGCGACAGATTTAAGACGCTTTTTTGGACATTGCAAATTGCAAAGTTTCGTGTTCTACAACTACCGAGGAGACCTGATGGACTTTTTCCAGAATTATAATGATATATAAAGTGAAGTATATTGAATTAAATTTTATTGCGTTGGATTTTATCGCAGACAGGATTTCCTTATAGTGATATCCCCAAAATAATGAGTGGCAGCATTGCAGTAGACAGTAGAGGAACAAGAGTAAGTGTAGCAGAGCAGGAACAGCTCAGATTTGACTACATACGATTCAAAACAATTTACAATCGGACAATTTACCACATTTTCATGTCCACGGATTGCTGTGGTATTTTGTAGTGATGGCAAAATGATGTATCAAAGTTAATAAAAACAAATATTATCGAGCAGTTTATCTTACATTATTATACACCTAGATTGTTTTTTTTAGATTTAGCTTTTCGATTAAAAAAATTTGGACCTTCGAGAGTATGTGCACCAAGATGGCGCACAACCTGAACATAGTATGTGTACCAGGTTAGGGTTCAGGTTGTGCGCTATCTTGGTGCACATACTTCGGGCGCGCGAAAAATTTGGATTGCGTATTCACTGGTCGCCAATGATTGATGCTTTAATTTGGACGGAAGTGGGTGCAATCGCGAGTTATGTTGGACACAATTAAATTGAAATAGGAAGACAGTTGTCATGGTTTGAGTAGTGCGTCATTTTGAGCTATTTTAACGAACGTGCAAACGCGGAGAAGCCGATTTTCCTGTCCGTCTTATTGGAGGGCTATATGCAAAAAAACTTTTGTGTAGGCTTAAAAACGGGCATCTTTTTATTTGCTGGGTAGACTTATTCGCTGGGAAATACGGTATATAAATAATAACTCTCAGTGGATTTACAAGTTACAGTACAAAAACAAAAAAGGAATATCATAAAATCGACTTGAAGGTGTTACAGCCTAAACGCCACAACTCAGAAAGCAGCTGGAGCCATCATGATTTTGAACCGGCTCTCCAGCCCTGGGAGTAACTATTCAAATCAACCATATTTAAATTCCTGAACCTGCCAAATAATTGTTATCAATTAATTTCTAAATTCAAATGCATCAAACATACATCTGGCATTCCATGTGTTCACTATGGAACATGACCCAATTTAACATATATTCCATATTAGCAAACACTTTTCCGAATATGTTGAGAATATTGAATTATTCGATTTAGCTCAACCTGAATATGAATGAACTAAACTCGGCTATCAAGAAATTCCACTCCATGTTATTCAAGTCATATTTTTGTTGCAGTATGTCAATAAAAAGCAAACTAAAAATAAACTATAGGTTGCGGTACACAAATGGCAAATTCAATGCCAAAAAAATTTAGGTATTTAAACAATGCAGGTTACATCTTGGCACTATGCTAATAAGGAATGTTAGAAAAAAACACCAGATGGCAATCACATAATGGTGATGCTTCATAACACACATGTAGCTTCCTATTGCAAACATATTCCGTCTGGCACATAAGGAAGTTGGAAATTAATATTTTCAAAGTCAGAGTCATAATGTCAAAATTCAAAAGTGGCAAAATTTTTAGTTTGGAGCCTAATTTCTCTGCCTCCACAGCCCTAGAAAATACATTAGTGTTGAAACAGTGTTGCAAGCATAAAAGCAGTACAAATACAAGACATAAAATGGTGAAACTATAAAATCAAGAAAAGGCCATTTTCACCCAAGTCTTCAACATGATTAGATAGTGATATTAGTATCATTATCTTCAAACACTTCATCGATGGCAGAAGAAGACGATGTCGTTTTACCTTTGGTTGGACATAATAGAGTATTTGATATGGTTACATCAGCAACCACTTTACGTAGGATGTCCCGCTTCTCCCTGTGAAATCTTAGATCAACACCAACTTCTCGGCAATGACGAATAGACTCTTCTGCAGCACTGAGCTCAGCTTTTACAACACCAGGCAATTTCAACTCCCTCGATTTCCAATCACGCACCATACCATCACGCAATCGATCATCCATGCTGGAGCCTGCATAACGAGCTATTACCTCTTCCCTGCTGCACTGCCTTCTCTTCATCTCTTTCAAGTTTCCATTCCAATGAAGAAGTTGAAATATAATCATCATTTCCTGAAACATCAGGAGACTTTTACCATTACTGGTGAGAAGCATGGATTTAAAAGCATCTAAACATGATTGAAACTTTTTGCCAGATTCAGATTTTCCTGATGCTACACTTGTGAGAATCTTTTCAATCAAATCAGAGTTTATTTGTCGAGAAGGATGCTCATTAAAGACTGAATTCATTAACGCAACTTTGGCAGCTTTTTGTCTAGCAGATTTTTCATTTTGAGAAATTGTTGATGATCCATAGCAACTTCCACCAGGCAAAGTTACATAGCACACAAATCGATTTGTTCCATTTATAATCTCGGTCTCCATCTCATATGATATCTGAGCACTTGTGCTTTTACTCATATTTTTAGACCATTTCATGTCCCAGAACTCTTGTAATGCTTCTGATGCCACCACAGTGCCATTGGCAGAATGTTTAGCAAAGCTTTTTAATACTGCATTGACCGTCTCTGCTAAAACCACACTAGCAGGAGTCTGTGGTCGCCTGTTATCTAAAGACATGTTATCTGAGAAAACAAGAAACAACATTGAGGGTCGAAATATTAAATTTGACATTTCGAATATGAAATGTTATTATAAATAGGCTTAATTTGCATTACAGCTCATTCATAAAACACATCTAATAATAGATCAAGAATGGTATTATTGGCTAATAATTCCACAACCAACACCAACCAGTCATCTTACAATTTGCAAGAGATATGGATAATCACAAATGATGATGTTGTTGTTTGACTTGCTAAATAAATGACAATCACACTTTTATACCTGTAAATACTGAAATATAAAAATAGGCGAGTTATCCGCCTCCTTGTAAGAGTTATCTCATTAATAATAAAACTTAGAAATGAAATAATTATTTAATAAAAAGGAAATTTTTTCTCCATCGGCACAAATTTGGAAGCTTTATTGGGACATTAGTTCTATTTTTCCCATTCAGATGTTCCGGCAGGTTGGGTACCGGTAGCTCATAGAAATTCATCTTTACCAAATGGATTTTTCCAACCACAGGCTGACAGGATGGCCTAAATTATGACTTACAAATACATGTCAATTTATAAGACATTTCATGCATTTGGACATAGGCCTACTGGTAGTTAAGGTTGTAGGTTTTGCGCTGGATAAATCTAAGAAAAAAAATACCTGTACAGGTACGGTACGGTACCAACCAAAATCACAACTGACACCGACATACTGCAGTGCCGTACGCACGGTACCGGTATTGGAAGGCAGAATGAGCGTGGTGCAAAAAGTCAACAACAGTCTGACAGTAGGCTACTCTCCCTGTTTTCGCTGCTTCAAGACAGGCTGACAGCAAGAGCTAACGTTAGTTCTGTAGTTTTGATTGATTCTGGTAGTTTGAATTTCACAAAATTATTTTGCAGCATAGAATACATTACCAGAATACGTAAGTCAGTAAGTATCCTAGGCCTAGTAGTCTAGTTCCTGAATCGACTGTACCGGTACCTACTCTGTGGAAATTGACGGTCAACGCCAACGATCTGACGGTAGAACACCATACTGCCATGCCCATACCTGCATACGGTACCGGTACCGTACCTTACAGCAGTACAGCCTTACCCACGGACGTTCACAAGTTCTGAAGTTGCCTGCCCTCCACGAAGGAGCAGTTATCAACCCTATATAGCCTACACTGGAATATTTTACTTTGAAAAAATATCCCCTTGTTCTATTTCTACCAAAACCTGAAAACCGAAATATCCAAACAAAGCGAATAACGGAATGCAGTTCACAGCGCACGGAAAAACATCACCTATTACGTCAGAGCAGCAAAAGAAAAAGTGTAAACATTGCCCGGACGTCATCTGTGATGTGCGGAGACAAAAATTATTTACCCTCGTTCAAAACAAACTCTTCTCAAACATTAAGTTTAAGTTTATTTCGACTCCATAATCAGCAAAACAATAAAATGAATGCTAAAAATAAATAAATAAAAACTGATTATGAAATCAGGAGAGCGAACAAAACCTTAGATAAGGTTTAAAACGTACAGAATGTATATAAGATGGAAGGTTTTGCCAAGAAGATGTGGTACGTGTTCACTCACCTAAAATAATTGAAATATTTCACACACGCACCCACACACACAACCATATAGAAGTTATTAAGTAAAGGGAACATAAAAAATTACATACTGGTAGTTAATAAAAAATAAATAAATAAAAATTACTTGCCACACCATATTAATAAATTTATCATGATTGCCACTGCCAAATTGATCAATTTTATAAATGGGAGTGAACAGTAAAGATAAACTTTTATAAAAAAATATATTGCCAAGCTGATTATAGATGGAGTCAAATGCCAAAATGCCCAACCAAAGTTGCCAGAATTGGGTGCATGGAGAGGTGGGCTAGACCACTTCATTGCCCAAACTAGAGCCTATTATTGCCAAATTATAGTCCAGATTGCAATAAGTATTTAAATCTATCAGTAACTTTATAAGTATGAGTAATTATAATTAATTAAGGTAGAAAGACAGGGTATAGGAATATGTTGGTTGCTAAGGTTATAAGGTTTTTTTTTCATTCTTAGATATTGACTTCTGCAAGGATAAAGGAATTAGGAATAAAGGAATCAGTATTGTTATTTCACAGGATCATTTCTTCATTTTATTATTGTGGCGTAATAGATGTCAATTCAAGTTTATCGTGGATGAGACATCAGCCTGCGAATTTTGTTGTTGTAGACACCATTTATATTCAATAAACTAGCCATTGTATTGATCATCACAGAACGACCTGAAAAACGGAAAATAAATCTGCGAGTAGGATATTCAAGGGTTACATATTTGGAAACAGCACTACCCTACACTTTTGTTTAGAATTAATTATTATTTCGAGTAGATATTGATTATTAGTTATCTATCTATAAAACGCTAGTTCAAAGACCAGAGTTGAAATATGGTTGGGACACAGGGTGAATTCCTCGCAAACCATGCAGAAACTCTCAAACCACACTGACCATTCGTATGTTGGCCTTCACATCAACTTCACAGCAGAACCTCAACCTAGGATAAAATTTTGTATACACACAAAACAAATCATAGAATACCACAACAAATTAAAATGAAGAGGAGAATCCAATATATCTCCACTGGTCGCCTAATTACAACCCTCATACGGTATCACACCACCCATATAGAAACAAAGACCATGCATGTGTAATGTCAAAAATCCAACGTTAAGCAAAAAGGGAACATGCGCATGTAGATGTCAGAGTGTAAACAGCCATTTGAAAAATAAACAAGACAGCTATGCTCAAATATATGGACACGTAGAGTCACATAATTTTGATGACGTCATAGCAAAAAAAGAAGTAATAGCCTTCTGGAGAAAATTTTTATCTTTAACCACTGAAAATTTCAAAGCAATTGGTCCAGTATTCGAAGAGAAAAGCGACTTTTTAAAAACGTGTCAAGCGGTACTGAGTTAGCAGTCAGGCAGCATCTTACCTGTACACTGTAGGCCATATACGGTAATTGATCACAGAACAGTTGTTCCCCTGCAAATTTTATGTTGTTTACACTTTAGGACAGATAATTGATCACAGAACAATTCTTCCCTTTCAAATTTTATGTTGTTTCCAGTAGACTCTCATCAAAATAAACAAATATAGTAGGCTACAAGTGCTACAACGCTTGCATTACTGCACTGGTAGGACCGTGAAAGAATAAGTTACGGTAATTTCATTGTGGTAAGACACCGGTACCGGCACCAGTACCAGTATCGTACTTACGTACTGAGCTACCAGTACCGGTTAGCAGTCAGCCAGCATCTTACCTGTACACTGTAGGCCATATACGGTAATTGATCACAGAACAGTTGTTCCCTTGCAAATTTTATGTTATTTACACTTTAGGACAGATAATTGATCACAGAACAATTCTTCCCTTTCAAATTTTATGTTGTTTCCAGTAGACTCTCATCAAAATAAACAAATATAGTAGGCTACAAGTGCTACAACGCTTGCATTACTGCACTGGTAGGACCGTGAAAGAATAAGTTACGGTAATTTCATTGTGGTAAGACACCGGTACCGGCACCAGTACCAGTATCGTACTTACGTACTGAGCTACCAGTACCGGTACCGAACCTGTAGGTCTGATATTCCGTTCCGCATACGATAGGCTATAAAACTTGCATTGCAGCATTAGTAATACCGCGGAAGGAATAAGTCAATTTCACTGCGTTACGGCACCGGTATGGCAACTTACCAGTACCGACCTACAGTAGCTGTAGTACTGAGCAAGACAATCGATCGCGAAACCGCTTGAAATAAGTGTAAAACAGTGTTCCCATGAGTAAAAATAAATACCGCGAAATTTTGTATGAAATATCATATCTCATAGGATTCATATAAAATTTAAGAATAAACAAAAGTAATAGCCTTCTAGCGAAAAAATTAATCTTCAACCACTGAAAATTTCAAAGCAATTGGTCCAGTATTCGAAGAGAAAAGCGACTTTTTAAAAACGTGTCAAAGAACAAGAACAACAACAACATAATATTGAAACGATCGTTATGTCCACTACGTGTCCAATAAATAAAATAATTTGCTGTGCATGCTACAGAACCCGACACGCCAACATTAGATGTAGAACAGGTGGAGAGAGATTAACTGCCGGCTCAACAACAATCAGCAGCTGCAGGAGCAATAGCAATATTGTAGCTGTTTAATATTTTCATGAAAATAAGTATGTGCAAGTGAAGAGTGTCCCAACTTTCTATCATGGTCATTCATGAAGGTTCAATATTTTTTGTGTCCGAGCTATCAAAACGTTGTAGCTAATTACATACGAAAGAGTATATATATCAGTGTGGTTATGGGAAAATAACTTTTAATATTTGGATACCAAGTACGACTTAACTTGTTTCTGAAATGATTTTTTGGATTTTAATGACTTCAAATTCAAGGGGAGAGAGTTCCATAGCTTAGGTCCATTATAGCATAGGGCATGCTGGCTCACAGATTTACTCATAAACGGTATAAATAAATTGGAATTACTTCTTCGATTGGAGGTGGTTTTGGTTAGTATGTCGTCAAAGCAGTTTGACAATGAGTTGTCATGGAAATCATAAACTAATGATAATACTTCAAATTTCATTATGTCTTCAACCTTGAGTATATTTAGCGATTTATAGAAATGATTTACGCTTTCACGTTTACTTTTCCTAAAGACAATTCTTAAAAATTATTACAAATGCTTTGCAATTTCGAGACAAGTGTTTTATTACCATGGAGCCAGACTGAGCTACAATATCGGATATGACTTAGTAGTAGAGATTGAAACATTGCTAGTAAAGCTGATTGATTAACGCACTGGGATACTTTGGCAGCAACTGCCAAGTTCCTTTTTGTTTTACCAATAACATGCGACATTTGTGATTTCCATGATAGATTTTCATCAAAGATAACTCCTAGAAATTTTATTTCTTTCACTCTTTCAATTTCATTGTCATTGAGCAGTAGTGGTTTTGAACAACTCACACTTTTATGCTTGCTTGGGTGGAATAATACAAATTTAGTTTTGTTAGCATTAAGAGATAATTTGTTAACCAACATCCAGCTATGAATGTTGGTTAGTTCTTGGTTTGCAACTGTGAGTAGATCTTCAAGGTTTTTCCCATGAAGAATCAAGTCAGTGTCATCAGCAAACATGATCGACTCAGAGGATTTCAGACACCTGGACATGTCATTAATGTAAGCTAGAAAAAATAATGGGCCAAGTAAAGATCCTTGTGGAACTCCGTGCTTCATGACACAAATATTTGTAGAGAATGAGTTGTCATATTGCACAATTTGTTTCCTGTCTTGCAGGTAGCTCCTGATCCAATTGAATGGGACGCCTCTAATTCCATAGTGATAGAGCTTACTTAAAAGGATGGAATGGTCAATGGTGTCGAAAGCTTTTGAAATATCAAGAAATATTCCAATTGCATGTTGTTTGCTTTCAAAGGCCTTGGTCAGTTTGTGTACCAAAACATTAGCAGCCATAGCAGTGGAGTGATGCTTGCGGAAACCAAATTGATGAGAGTGGAAAACATTGTTAGTTTCAAAGAAGTTTGACATTCTACTATACATTATTTTCTCAAGAATCTTAGAAAATGATGGTAAAAGACTAATAGGTCTATAATTTCCAAGATCTGAAACACTACCCTTTTTAAATAGAGGAAGAATTTTAGATGTCTTGAAGCTTTTAATGAATAACCCACTAGATAGTGAAAGATTAAATATATATGTCAGGATGGCAATGATATGTTCTGGAACGTGTTTCAATACTTTGAATGGAATACCATCAATTCCAAAACTTGACTTGGGCTTCATTTCGCGTATAATATTTTTTATTTCTAATGATGTAGTTGGCCTTAAAACATGGATGAGGATTCTTGCTTTCCAAGATATGAAATGTAATTTTTGTCACAGCCAGCTGGTTGTGGCATACAGTCGAGCAGGGTTTGTGCCACTTGGGAAAAGTGTTCATTAAATTTATTTGCAATTTGTGTATTACTGCAATCGAGTCCAATCAAAGGACAAGAACCTGTTTTATTTTTACCAATAAGTTCATTAATTGTTTTCCACACTGCCTTGATGTTACCTTTGTGAGAGGCAAATTTAGATTTGTAATAATTTGATTTCTTTTTGTAGAGCAATCGAGTATAAAGGTTCCTGCATTCATTGAACTGTAATTTGTGCTTGTCATTTATGTTTTTATTGTTTATTAATTTCTTATAAAGTTTTTGTTTGACTTTGTTTAGTTTACGTAACTCAGTATCATACCAAGGTTTGTTTGATCTGTTTGTTTGTTTTTTGTAAGGAAAAGATTGAGAGTAAGCAGTAGAGAATTTTTCAAAAAATTTTTCAAAGCAAGTGTTGGGATCCTGGATGCTGCTGAAGTCATCAATATCAATAGAATTCAGTTCGTTCATAAAAGTATTCAAGTTGGACGAAGTAAACTGGCGGTAAAGCGTTTCAATTCTGTCCTGAATTTGCTTTTCTAGAAGAGAGCATTGTACAATTGGCAGATGATCAGAAACACATTCTGCTAAAACAGCACTATTAACTTTTTTATCATATACGTTTGTCCAAATGTGGTCTATACAGGTAGCAGAACTTGAAGTTATCCTGGTGGGGCAGTTCATCAGAGAATAATAGGCCAGGTTGTGCATAATATCAACAAATAGGCTGGTATTCATATTGGACTCATCAATAAGATTATAGTTGAAGTCACCCATTATATAATTATAATTCAACTTGTTCATCTTTGAGAGAACTTGGGACAAGAGATTCCGAAAGTTAGCATTGTTCAATTCATCAGTTAGTGGTGATCTATAAATAGTACCGCAGGTTATTGTTTTATTTTCCAATAATATGTCAATAAATATAGATTCAAAAACCTTTTCATACATTATAGTAATATCCTTGCGGACAATGTATTTCCAAATCATTTCGAATGTAGAGACCAACACCACCACCTCGGTGATGAGATCTACTGTTAGTGATAAAAACATAGCCATCCAATGTATTGAAATGGCCATTTGTACCAGATACAATCCATGTTTCATTTACAGCAATTACATGAGGCTTACAATTCAGTGAATTCACTAGTGCTTCAAATTTTGTGTAGTTTTTGAAAGAGGCTAAAGATCTGATATTAAGGGAAAGAGTCATGAAACCACTTAGTTTAAAACTATCATTGAATTTGAGGTCATTGACATCACTAGAGCAAATATACTGATTTGAGCTGTTGTACATGAAAACACTGTTTATGTTGTTGAATTCATCATTGTCAGTATTGGCTGACTCAAGAAACATTTGGTTTAGGTATTCAGGATCAAGAATTTTAGTAAGTGCTTGGGCTTCAGCTTTTTCTGAATGAAGGGAAGTACATGATTCTAATAATTCAGAATCAGAGAGAGAAGAGAATGGTATGCAATCTTTTTCACAAAAGAAACAGCACCAAGGCATATCATCAGCTTCAGATTGCAGGTTTTCATACTGCTGGTTAGAGATATTGGTGCATTTTAAATGTATCCAATGTGAGCAAATGTTGCAAAAAATAGCTTTCTGATTAGTTCGGACTGATTTGTGGCAATTTCTACAGGGATATTTTAAATTATGTTTCATGGTGGTGGCAAAGTAATGAAATAAAAAATAAAAAAAGTATAGTGAAGTAAGACAAAATCTAAAATACAAAGCTTGAATACAAAGTTTCCAGGTGCAGAACTTATGGTTAAATAAGTACTAGCCTAATTAGCATAAGGAAAATAGGGGTGAAAATAAATTGAGTTAAATTAAATTATATTATCAACCCTGTGCTAAAGGCCACCACTATACCAATGAGACCAAGTTGCAAACAGTGTGCCTATTTGCTAGGTCCCATTGGGCGAGCAGCAGCCCTGGAGTACAGGGGACGAGAGAGATTAGTGATATCATTTAAACAAGATATAACTCGCCTTCTGTCCAAGTAAGCGTATATAGTCCCATTCATTGTCGACACCTTATGCTTCCCGAATGCTTCCTTGGCAGCGGCGAGGAGCTTGAGCCTATTCCGGGTCAAGGACTCCGTGATGGACAAACCGCTGCCTTTTAGATCTTTCTTCCTACCATATATTAAATTTTTTGTCGATCTTCGGACAAATTTAATAATGATGGGGTTCTTCGGGGACTTGGATCGCAATTTATGGGTTATATCAATATCCGTGTTAACAATAGGCTGGTCAAGATTGAAGTTATTGTTCAGGGTGTTAACAACAAAGTCTTCAAACTTGTAGTACTCAGATTCTGGAACAGATTTGCAGCCATGAAGAACAACACAGTTCCTCCGGCTGTACTGTTCCTGATCATCTTGCTGTTTTTCACATAACTCCAGTCTTTTTATAATCTCCTCGATCTTAAGAGAGATTTGAGCCACATCATGCTGGAACTTCTTAACAGCTTCAGACTTGCTGCCATGGTCTTCAGTGGCAGACAGTTCATCTGAGCGTTGCATGAGCGCTTTGTGGTTGGCCTGGAGGTATGTAACAGCAGCCAGAATCTGGTTATGAACTTCGGTATTCATATTGATTTTCCGTGGAGTTTCGAGTTGAACAGGTAATTATTTCAGCAGAATCCAATGTAGTATTATGATTAGAAAGGTATATTCCGTTTGTTGATATAATCGAAGGTAGCAGGCTTTAGTACTTAAGTTAACCAAAGATTAAACTATCATCTGCAAACTTAAACGGAGAATAATTTCGGCCTACGACAGGGGTGGGCGAGGTTTTTTACCATAAGAGCGGCATGCAGCAAGTCAGATAATATGTGGGAGCCTCATAAATTTTAAAATTATTATTATCAGAGTTCATTGAAAAATATTTGGCATGGTAAATGTTACGTTGGTACTAATTTGGGAGATGTGCCTCGGTGTAGTGCGACACGAAACTGGCGACTGGGCTATTACTCGCTTCGTGTTGCTGGGATCCAAGACTGCGACAGCATCAGCAATATTTTTTTTTTAAATCACAGTCAGAATATGGGTGTTTATCACGGGCAGTATTCCATGATACAACAAAACTAACTTCAGTAGTTGCATTGGATTCCTTGCCAAAAGATATCATAAATTTCTGACATGCGGGGTTAATTATATGCGGAAGGATAGCTGGATTCCTTGCTGCCATAAGGTGGTTCACATAACCGCTGGTTGGTTGCGGCTTCTTCCACCATCAAGTCCATGTATCTGAAAACAAATAACTGGCTAACTAATCCCATACTCGATATTTTTGCGGCCCGTCTCATAAAGTTTGTAAGCAGACTTTTAAAATGTTTACTATGTTATATATATAGGCTTAAGTATGCTTCGTGTTTTTGGTGTGATTATTGCTGCCATCTGTCTACATCCAAATGCCGGTTTTTATTATAACGTCGCCTATGTGTCAAGTCTTGCGCATTGGTGGACATCGACGCTAGTTTTTATTTTATTTTAGCAGAACTGTGCGTTCTGTTCGACGAACTCGAAAGATAGGATATTGTGCGATCATTGGGGACGAACGCCGAGCGCAAATATAGGAATGAATTTGACGCCTACATTTGCAAATTAATTTCATTCTGATCGCTTTCTTTCGTCAGCTTTGATCGGTATTATTGCTAACTCAAAATAAAAAGTCAACAATATCTTTGGTAATGGCTCCGGGACTCGTTGTTCTTTTGTGTTTGTATTTTTGTTATTTTTGCGTTAAATACGATTTCGGAAATGTCGTCACTGTGCATCCGTCCATGATAAAATTGGCTCAATGGCATTGCTACATATTAAAATTAGTATATTTATTCATCCAAAAATTTTTGCAATGTTACTTCATTAAATAGGTAAGTTGTGTTGATGTTTCAAATTTATGAAACGACCCACTAAAACTTAATATTCTCGCGACATCGGCGCTCAATAGGATCGTTTAAACATTGAGACAGTATCATAGTCCCTGAAAATGAATGAATAAAAACACTATAACGCAAATGTAACGCACAATTTTGAAGTCTTTGTTTGTGAGTAAAAACTGTGTGTAGATTCTCGCGTGGTCGCCAGAAAGCCGCAAGTGTGTTGTGTAATGATTGGTTTTTTGATTCGGCGGCCAGCGAGTGTCATGCCCAAGCCCCGTGTTACCATATATTCGAAGAGTAAACTGCTATTCTAATATTTTGCCAGCCATACTCAGTAACCAGTAAATTATTATTACATTCATTGATTTTATGTAGCCTACATTATGTCGAAATCAGGACTTAGCTGGTCTTAAAGTTGAAACGTTTGCGGCCCGCAACGAATTTGGTCATGTGAACTGGCTCGCGAGACGAAAAAGGTCGGGCAGGCCTGGTTTACGACCTATGCTTTTTATTTTATTTTGCACACCCCAAGTCGATATCAGAAAAAAAGACTCGAGTAGACAATTTGCTGCATATTTGTGCGAACAAGTCAAACTCCCAGATACTTGGATATTACTTTTTACACGTGAAGTTGCCAGATGAATGAGAAAGCACACTGATCAGAGCACAGTTTTTTACCAAAGATCGGGCCCTTCGACCAGATCAAAATATCGTGATGGTTCTAAGCTGAGGTTCTACCGGATAAGACGAGTCTATACAAAACCACAGAAATAAACACAGATCCATCAGTCTTCGACCAAACACCGAGCTCAGTCCTCTTCTCAGAGACTTAAATTCTAAGACGCTGTACACGTAAAAGCAGATGCACGATAATTCTGAACAATAGGAATAATAAAGTGTAAGCTATGTATAACTACGTTGAATTTTGATGGGAAACGTGTAATACTATTTAACAACGTTTGATTATAGCAAGGTATTGTGTGCGTGTATTTAAGTTGATATTCGTTCATTAATGCGTTTGATGATCACTCTGAATTACTTTATAATTGTCAGGTCCCTTTCCTATGTCACTAAGCATCATTTATTTATACGTCTATCATTTGGTAACTGTGCTCTACGATTGAATGGCAGGTAGACCCCACATATTTCTATATTTACACTTGCTTGTGCTGCATTGAGGTTGCTTGTTCAAAAACCACCTTTTATCGAGTTTCATTACTTCCGTTAAAATATATACTATAAATGGGTTTTATTCCCTTTTTATATTTTGTATTATTTGGAATAACTGTGTTGCAGCATTTGCTGGTAACAAACAAATTGCAAATTATTTACTGAAGTTTTAGCAGTCATGTAACATTTATGATTTGGGAAAATAAAATTTTCGCTGTTGAGATATTACATGGCTTCACCTTGACATGACTAAAAATTAGGCAGGCCCTAGATCTAAATTGTATGATTTGAATAAATCTTGAATAAGCCATAAAACGAGAATATCGGTCAGAGACCGAAGGCTTATCAATCATAAGTTAAGGGATAACCCCAAAACAGCGCTCTTACTCCATAGTGACACCTTGTGTCCCATCACTAATTAATTGATAACTCGCTAATTATACGACATAATTCGCCCAGATTTAATAGGTTTCTGGTACGAGATATGATGAATGCACATGCAAAATCTGCAGCAGATCCAATCTCGCTCTCGTGAGATATCGCGTGCATCTAACAGACAGACAAACAGACAGACAAATATCTATTACATAATCAAACTGCAGTTGCCGGTAAATGAGTGAATTCAATTCATTATTGGACAATTGACGTGTTTAGCACTGCTCACAGTAATTGAACTAGAGTCTTTTATATGTTTATAGTACAGAAAGATTTTCATCATCTGGTGTGACAGGATATGGTTTTGATTTATTCTGGGAAAGTGTGACGATAAAGATTCATGCGTCCAGTCTCAACGTGAATCGAAATACCAATTGATTCGAGTCACAACTGTAGCTTAAAATGCTATCGGTGCACACTGCACAGTAGTCTTCATTATCAAAAATCTAGTGATTTCGCTGACCACTAGATCACGGAACTGCCACATCGTGCGTCATTTATTATTTTGATGATTTCGTCACACAAAACTTCGAATTGAAAACGAATTTAATAAAATCCCCAAAACATTTTTCGAATAATTAGTCTAGTTCTAGCGCCAACAACAATCTTTAGCCAAAAATCAATTGGTCCAATACTTAAAGAGTAAAACGATTTTTCCAAAACAAAAATGCAATACCAAGGAGAATACTAAAAAGAGCAACAACAAACTCTAACGAAACAATTCACAGATACTTTTCTTGTCCAATTAGTCAATTTCAGTGGTCATTATTAATTGCAGACCAAATTATGATTATTTTACATAATTAGTTGGAGATAGTTAGCAAACCTACAAGCATTGATAGTCGAAGTTAACATGATAATTGAAGACGAAAAATAGGCGAACATTTTGAATTCTGGGTCGTCTGACCAACTCGTAAATTTTATTAAACACCTATGTCTCTAACTAAGGGAAAATTTGAATATGCTTTTAAATTTTTTTACCTTTCTTTTGTATGCAAAGAATGCCAGATAGAGGTCATAAGGAGAGCGAAGAGTTCGATGCTGGAAAATCGTGCGAGGAGATGATCACAGCTATGGAGATTCAGAAAAAAAATCAGAATTTGCGCCAAAGCGGCAGGTTGCAATCGATTGTGATTGACAAATCCGATGTCAATGCTGGACGAGAAAATATATCGATTTGTCTTCGGACGGTGGGTCATGATGAGGAGAAGTCACTAGAACGTTTTTAGGAGCTTGTGCGTCTGTAGGAAGGTGCGGATGCATCAACAGTTGTAGATAAGACTTTGCCAACTATTGCCGACTACCTACTTAATTTAGTTATGGTACATTACATAAAAACGATTTCTACCGCCAAGTAGGCCTACGTAATCGATAAGACACTTCAAACAATATTTCCAGTGGCGAACAAAAAAAAAAGTTCTTTGCGAGCCTTTTATGGCTGCTTCCACTCTAACAAGAATTCCTTTGCGCCTTGCGAATACGAAGGCGTCAACACCACGAACAACTGAAAGCCTCTCACAGACACCAGTTTTCCGCAAAACATCTGTTAAAAATTACTGAAGTATACTATCTATGCCAGGGGTCGGGAACCCATGGCTCGCGAGCCATATATGGCTCTTTTGGTGACGGCATATGGCTCCCAGAAAAATCTATTATTCTAAGATTAAGCTTACTATTGTTACTAGACTTCAAACTATTTTATGGCCAAATTTGACAAAAAAGTTTCCCTATACGTTTGACAACGCGGGCCCAGCGCATGTCTATGTTATTTAAGAGAATTGCCAGACAGGCATTGTGACAAAACATGGGGATTCTGGAACATATATTGTGACATCACAAAGCGATAGAGTTTTAAAATACTACGGAGCTGTCTAGTCTAAACGAAAAAGGGTGATGAGTATCGTAGATTTCAACTTGGGCTGCATGTGAGCAACCGTTCAAGGCCCGCAGCGACAACATGCAGCATCAGAAGTCACGTTAAATGTATATTGACATTGTATGTGTTGATTTTTGAGTAAAAATTTCAGGCCTGATTAAGTGAAGAAATGCTATATGGCTCGCACGGTAATGCAATTGAAAATATGTATATTTTAGGGCTCTCTTGACCAAAAAGGTTCCCGACCCCTGATCTATGCTGACGTTTTTACGCAGACAATGTGAGCGTATCTGATGAAACACAATGGTATTTCGTTAGTTTAGCAACCAATCTTGAGTTTCAGTGTGGCCGTGTATTCGGTTTAAATCAGCGTTTTATTGTTCAATATTGGTTCTGGTATTCGCGAGTTAGCAGAAAGAGATAACAGTATTTTTTCAAAGTTATACCCTGGGGTCAACACTAAGATCATTAATTGCAATTAAAAGATAATTTTGGGATGCAGGGTAAGTTAGGACTATAAAATAAGCAAATTAGCATAGTAGTCTAACTGCTGGTTGAATAGTCATACGTCATAGTAATAATCAATAGTCGTACAAGCTGAAATAAAGTTACTTTGGAGTATACTTCGCCCAATTGTATTATCTGGAGACTCAGAACATAGGGTACGTATATACTTTATATCTTGTATGATTTCAATCTGTATATAATTTTATGCCAATATGGTATGTGCTGATTATGTTCATTGTTTTGGCACATAACCTTCCTGCTTTAATTTCATGTATCATCTTGTTGTCGTTTTTCAAAAAATTGGACAGTTTCTAAGTTGGATTTCATCGTGGCACCAAGCTGAGGGATGGACAAGAAGCCGGGGCATTTTGTCCTAAATGTCCTAAACATTTTAGTTTAGGACAGGACTTGATTATTAGGCGCGTCGTCCAAGGTCTTCGATAAAAGCGATAAAAAGCCTTCTTCATCAGCTTCCCGAAGGTTACAAAATAGCTTAAAAAAAAGCTAAACTCACATTTTTTATCATTCTTTACTTCTCTGTATATCTTGTTGATCTTCTCTTTCTCCGTCATAAGGGATTTGGGTAACTTTTTCAAAATCCGCATTTGTCGGAAATGCGGGAAGATGAGCTGTCTATTCAGTGCATCGCTTGTTATCTAGATTCTGAAATAAAAACAGATTATATGTTTTGTCCCACACATTATGACGTCATATAGATAGAACATATTTACAAACTGATAAAGGATAAAATAAAGAAAAAAAGGTAATTAGAGAGACAGCGATACTTGCGTTTGATAAATGCCTGTACAAATTAGAAGTTTTCACGCTCGTAGAATATCTGCTGCAAGACCAAATAGCTTATGATAATTCACCTCGAAAAACTTTGTGTTAACCAGCTTCGGGCGAGTTTGTATGAAGAAAACAACAAGAAGGGTCTATTTAATAAGGGGGCCATTAGGTGATCTAGCAAATCCTTCAAGTCGATAATTATTATCAAAGAAGTATATTTAAAGAAATTTGCTAAATATCTCAGATAATAGGACGTATTGACGACGTTCTAATACTTTTAAACAAATGCAAAATTCTACAGCTTACTTCTTTACATGTATATGCCAATTATAAATTGGGACAGCGTAAAGTGACACAAAAGATAATTCGAGAATATAATCTAATCTCTGTGAATTATAAATGATGATGCAATTATTAATGGTGAATTATATAAGATGCATTCAATAAGCAAACCATGCAAAAGATATTTTAATAAAAAGATAAGATTGTTAATCTTCTGTGACGGATGCTAACCTATTATCAAATGAAAAAAAGCTGTTATAACCTCATAGCCCATAAGTTATGGATAACCTACATCAATTGACCGAAGTTAATTAATTAATCAGTGTTTGAAAATATCCTAATTTTTAGTTCTTGAGTCTGTAGGACTGATCGAAAAAACGTAGAGTGTACAAAATTCTTGTAGTCTATCGCGAAGTGACTGGAATAACAGGTATTGAAACTCATCATAACTTCAAAATAACATGGTTTGTGTTGCAAAAATCTCAAGTTATAGGCTGCCCTATACTTGATCCTATAACTGTCGAAGATATTGTAAAAAGCAGAACAGAAGTTCCGTAATGTGTACTTAAAAATGATTGAATGAAAATATTTATATGAAATACGATAAATAAATGATTTTGTTTATTGTTTCAGCCGATAACCCTCCCGATTCCCATTCAAGTAACATCTTGTTGACTGTTTTTCAAGAAATTACACCGATTCTAGGTTTAATGCGATCGGGACAGCAACTCATGTTACGAAATTCTGGGAATAAATCGTTTTGATTTGGGACATGACTTATTTCCTGGGGCGCCTTTTTAAAGGTCTACAACCACTGATTTGCGTTTGAGCTGATCAGCTATTACATTCGGCAGTAACAGTCACTGACTCTGAAGACTTGTATGCTCCCTTAGACATGGATTCTCCCAATCTGATTAACGCCACTCGTTTAATACTACTCCTATCTCTACTTAGTGACGCATTCCAATAGAATTGAATTAAAAAAAATACGTTTGACTAATATTGGGATGTTATTCCCAGTGCAATAGTCCACCACAGAGACTATTCTTGTAAGATCGTTTGGAATTATTCTGATTTTAGCGTAGAATTGCAATCCAATAAGAAAGTTTATCATACATTTAATGTAAGTTGGCGAGAATCATTTCGTATTTGGTAGTGGAATGGCGCAGTTCAAATAGGATTTCTATGAATGGTTAGCAGTTAGTTAGCCTTTGTCAAGTGGTATTTTGGTATGTATTAAACTTTCATATATATAACAATATGCTAAATTTATATCTTAATAAAGTTGTTTAGCGATGTTCATAATTCACTTATATATATTGGGTTAGCGGTGATCTGAAATATTAAGTACTGAGTTTTCTTATTTTTTTCGGCAAAAAAAAAATCTTAATAAATCTGTTCATTATGTTCTATGACGTTATAAGGTTGTGCACATTACTCGCTGTTTACAAACTCGAAGTACGTTGAGGAACGGATAGGTTTTGGGGGTGAGAAAAATACTTTCAAGTTTGTGATAGAAGCCTGGATTACTGCTTTCGTCAGCGTTTGTTGTAGGCTGGCCTTGTAGCCTTTGGTTCGAACAAAAACAACTTCCCAGGAATAAATGAATTCTGCACAGTGACGCGATTGAGTAGATAACACCAAATAACCGTAATGTGTTTGAAATAAAATCGAAATATTTTAAATATGCACTAGTTTAAACGAATTGATGACTTCGCATATTATAAGAAAGTCAATGGTAAAAATTTTTGCAATAAACTATAAATGAAAATTTCTGATTTTAAAATAGTCTGAAAAAAAAACATATCTAAGATATTGCACTTGAAGGATATATATGCTAACCTACAGATATGTATTCAAGAATTGAGCGATTCTAAAACAAACGAAACATTACTATTGTTGTGTGAAAGCGATAAATTTCTCCCTTATCAGCGTACAGGAAGTTGCGGCCTAAATGAAAAAGCTAAACTCACATCTTTTATTATAAGTTTGTTCTCTGTATATCTTATTGGTTCTCCTCTCCTCTTTGTAGTAGTTTAGGTTTGTAGACTCCACACTTGTGAGGTAATGCGATAGACTAGCGGTCGCTAGTTTGGATATTGCTTGTTATCTAGATGGAAAATAACAAAATTTATTCGTTCTGTCTTATTCATTATGTCGTCATAAAGAACCAATGTTGTAGCAATTTCAGATGATTGAATACGATAATAAATGAAAGGGAAGTTTAGTCGATTTTGCAAAACATTCAAATACATTTTTACGAAGACAAATTTCCACAGCTCACTCCACCACATCGGGGCTGCCAATGTTGGTGTATCATAGCTAGATCTAGATATTTTGTTCACAGTTCAGATGTAAAATTTGGAGTCTAGAATCTAGATCTGACAAGGGCAAATTACGGCCCGCGGGCCAAATCCGGCCCGGCTGATGCTGCCACAACCAAACTAAAACCAAATTTTAATGCTTATCTAAAAAATTGCCCAAGGAATTTGTTGAGATTGCGATTAAATTTAGTTTTGACACGAGACTTATTGTTTTCCACTTTTAATTTTGTAAATTTGTAATTATTTTTCATAAAATATAACCTTTTACGTCAAACTTACATGATTCGCCAGTCTAAATGACCAAAATTTTTGGCCCGTTGTCCGAAACCTTGCCCACCCCTGATCCAGATGATAGCTATAAGGGATAGATTTTTTCAACGTTCTAGATATTATCCAGTGGCAAACAATAGGTACAATAGTTAAACGTTAGAATTAGATGTAAGGTTGATAAAACTTAAATCATATACCAACCCACAAAAACGTGCTTAAAACAAAAATGATCCAAAAGCGTGTTTAGGTTATCAAAAGTATGCTATCTGATATAAAATCCAAGGGAATTTTATCACAAACTGAAGAGAGCAATATAAAGCATTGGTGCCAAAGTTTTCTTATCTTCAGTATATCTTCATAACAGGACGATTCAGAGACTACCTGGAAATTTGGAAGTTTTAAAAAGCGTATCATTGTTTTCTGTTAGTAACATACGACATACGCTTATGTATGAAAAGTGTTCCCTCCAAGAAAATGTTACATTGAGCAAATGTTTGTTTTACTGAGCCTTCATATTATACAGCTATTTTACAGAGTCCTATCACAATGAACAGCAAACTACACGTGAGACATGGTACTGACATTCTAGCCAGTGGTTCTCAAGCTAGCCCTTGAGAGAATATCAAGAGTGTTTTATAATTGTTGTTGTCGCTAGAAGGCTATTAGTTTTACTTATTTAAAAAAAATATGTGTGCACTATAGAATTCGTTTTTTACTTCAAATTTCTGTGTGATGACGAAAAAACTGTTTTGATTTCATATTCATAAAATTTTTCCTTGGCTAGGAGATAGATTCCTAATTTGTACATTAACGACTAAAATGACATACCGTCCGGAGTCAAATCCAATAATCGAAAAAGTTTCTAAAACAACAAGTTGTCTCATTTTATAATATGTGTGTGTGTCACTACTTAAGCTTCATACAAAACAAAAATAGGCAATTTGTCAGCCTTAATGTTTGCACCTAGGTCCTAGGGGATCGGTCGCTGGCAGATTTATAAAAATGTTACACCTTGTCAGAGTCAATTTATTTTTTCAATCAGTAATGAAATTTTTTCAATGCAATGTACTCAATCAAAAATTTTTGGTATATCGTCAGTATCTTTGTTACATCTACGTCATCAGTAATCGTCATCGTCTTTGTCCGTATGTACGTCATAATATTCGTCAATATCTTCGTTACATCTACGCCATCATATTCGTCAGTATCTTCGTTGCATCTACGGCATCAGTGATCGTCATCGTATTTGTCAGTATCTTCGTTACATCTCAGTCATTATGTTCGTCGTCAATCGTCATCAGTAATTGTCATCATATTCGTCATCACATTCGTTTTTTTAATATATCGTCAGTATCTTCGTTCCATCTACGTCATCAGTAATCGCCATCGTCTTTGTCCGTATGTACGTCATAATATTCGTCAGTATCTTCATTGCATCTACGAGATCAGTAATCGTCATCGTATTTGTCAGTATCTTCGTCAAAATATTCGTCAGTATCTTCGTTACACCTACTTCATCACTAATCGTCCTCGTATTTGTCAGTATCTACGTCATATTAATCGTCAGTATCTTCGTTACATCTACGTCATCATATTCGTCAGTATCTTCGTTACAATTACGTCATCAGTAATCGTCCTCTTATTTGTCAGTATCTACGGCATAATATTCGTCAGTATTTTCGTTACATCTACGTCATCAGTAGTCGTCATCGTGTTTGTCAGTGTCTGCGTCATAATATTCGTCAGTAACTTCGTTACATCTCAGACATTATGTTTGTCGTCATCAGTAATCGCCATCATATTCGTCATCATATTCGTCAGTATCTTCGTCATCATAGTCGTCGGAAACTTCGTCATCATATTCGTCAGAATCTTCGTCATCATATTCGTTAGTATATTCGTCACCATATTCGTCTGAATCTTCGTCATAATATTTGTCAGTATCTTCGTCATCATATACGTCAGTATCGTCGTCATCATATTCGCCAGTATCTTCGTCATCATATACGTCACAGTATCTTCGTCATCATATTCGTCAGTATCTTCGTCATCAGTAATCGTTAAACTTGGAAATGAGAATTGTAAATGAGCAATTCCCCAATGTCCTCCGCGAACTCGTATACTTTTTCCGGCTGTTATTGTAGTAAAATATTTTCCATTATGTGACTTTTCTCCTACGTAGTCCACTT